TATCTCTTCTGCTATTCACTTATGTTTAATTTCACAGTTTTCGTGGAAATTCTTTTTCGCCATCTTTTTTTCAGAGTAAGCACTTCATAAATCTTACGGGATAATAAAAAGTATATTTTTTCAAAGACAATATACAGCTCTGATTTTGGCCTTCAATTTTAAAATGTAATATCACACGAGAATTTATTTCTAAAAGTTTCCTGGTCTTCTTAATATTAAATCAATAAACAAGAATTTTAGTTATGGTTTTTTTCTTGACTGTTGACTGTTAATTTGAAACTATGTTTAATTCATTTATAAATGCGGACTGCTGCTGTAACTTTTTATCAATTCGTAATGTACGCAATTATTAAACGACATCAACACAGTTTCAAATTTGACACTTGTAAATTAGAACAAATTAAAGATAATTCTTTAAGAAATCATGTACAGATTGACATTATGAACAAAAACCCTCCATACAAAAAGATAGCAAATCAGTACATTTCGATTGTGACAAATGTCGTATATTCAGGAAGGTCAAATGAATGCTTATCTACAAAATTTGTTAAAACATTTCCCCCTATTTTTTACGAGTAGATCAATCAAATGTAATGCCATGTTATGAGCTTATTTTTTCAAGTAATGCTAAGCTATGGCTATTTTTCTTTCATTTTTCATTTTTTTCAGGTCTTTGTATAATCTAAAACAATTAAGCATTTAAAATGTATTGAAATTAAATAACTGAATGAGGGGATGAATGTTTTTATATATCTATTTTATAAATCCAGCCGTAATATCATGTATTTCATCTCATTGAATAAAGAGAAAGGCTAACATGTTAATGTTGCAACAGCGCATTTCGATTTGATTGTGCAATTCTGTTACAAGCCATATATCTAATCAAACATAAAAATGAGCCCCTCCCAAATGCAAGATCTAATATCTTTTATTATGTTTCATTGAGGTGACAAGCATTGCATCGCTGTTTAACATGACATATTTTACTTACACTTGGGAAAACTGCTGAGACAATTTCTGAGACAATTATTGTTTAGAATTTTTTTCTCCTTCATTCCTTTTTCTTTTTAAGCAAAGCAAGTATTGACGTTTTGTTTATGTTTTGGTCGGGATCCAGAAGATACCCACAGCCACCATAAATATCGGTAGAACTCTACGCTGGACATAACGGGTTCGTTTGGAACCGGGCCAGAAATTCTGATTGCAATGGAAATGAATTCATTGGACGTTTATCCACTGTGGATATTTACGTAGTTTTGATTAATTTATAGCCGCCCAGCAGAGACAGACGAAACACGCAGTTTACCAGTGAGAATAAAAATCGAATATTTAGGCTAATAAAACAGAGAATAGAAATTCTGATTTAATTATTGCAAATGAATCAACGCTTCTTGCTCTGTGTGCAGAAGCAAAATATTACGAATTATGCAGATTATTTTTCTAGTAGCAGCAAACACTTTTACGCATGTTTTAAGGCCAGCAGTGATTTATGTTTGGGTCTTATATATAAAATATTACGAATTATGCATGTTGAAGATTGTAAAATAGTGGATTCCTTAACCAGATATAGAACTTAATGAATCTACTACTTTACAATATTCAGCATATTCTAATATATATGACCCAATCACAAATCACTGCTGGCTTTTTACGCTTAAAACAAAGCACCATTTTGATTGAAATTATTTTGTTGATAAGAAAGCATGACATTGTATGATCAAATGAAGATTAGTTTTTAAACCAGTGTTCTTTACTTCTACATTATCACATTACTGACCGTTAAATGACATACTTTATTTTTCAATATATGAGTAAATTGAGAGGCATCACAGAAGTTTTCAGATTTTTTTTAGTATAGCATGTTTTAACTGTCCTAGATTCTTGTAATTATTTCTAATACTTTGGCCTGCCAACTTTTATTACTTCAGATTGAAGGAGATCTTTGAACAGGCCCTGCTAAATACTGCTTGTTACTGCTAAATAGTTTGGAGAATGTAGTCGGGTTGTGAAGACATTTTTGGAGCTCATGATGTAATAATTTTGTGTTGAGAGACATCGGAATTAAATATCCCTACAGTCCAGGCCTTGAACCTTGTGCCTTTCAGTTATTCCCAAAGCTGAAGGAGAAACTCAGGGTAAGTTGTTTTGAACACATTGAGATGATGAAGGAGGCTGTCACAAGGGCATTGGATACTGTCACTTTGACCTCATGAGGCATTTACGAAATGGCTGGAGCGCTACAAAAATGCATTGAAGTCAGAGGATGCTACTCTGAAGGATATTATAGTTGTGCACTTCTTTGGAATTAATAAATGTCTCTTCTGAAAGTTACAAGTTTTCTGTAAAGCGCCTACTAGATTAGACACCAGTATTATTGCTTCATGCGTTAGATACCTCTCGTGTTTACCTAGATTCGTGACCATTGCCAAAGTGATTTTTATTACGGTTTCAATGTGTGTGTGATCATGGCATTTCTTAACTTCTTGCAAATAATCAAAACTGCATAATATAAGATCGAATATGTATTTGAATATTTAAAAACCAGTTCAGATCGGAAAATGCCATCAACATTTTTCAGTTAATAATTTTATAGCTTAATCAATTATTAACAATGAATATATTTCTTACCGCTAATATAAATTTCGTAAATTCCTTATAGTAGTAAAGTACTACTGTACTGTACTGTACTGTACTGATGCGGCATTCACCCTGGGCGGATTGAGCCGGCTTCTTCCTGTTATGAGAAGAAGATTCTTGGGATAAATTACAGAAGTAGGGTACCCAGGCCTATTCGGATGACGTTCTTGCTTGCCGCGGGGTTCCCACAGACGCAGAGACAGGAACGACCAGAAGCCGCCGGTTACCGAAGCAGACGCTCCTTGGATTTTCACCAGAGCCCTTGTTAGCCGGCGTGTGTGTCAGACCTGTCCGCCTTGGGTGGCCCTACCAGGAACGAAGTTCCGGGCGGCATAGCTCTGACACTACCGTTTACACCCCCCCACCGACTGTGAGGTAAGGGTTGGACTTTGGGGGCTTACAGTACCAGGTGTTCCCAAGCGGTCCCCCATCTAAGTACTGACCTGGCTCTACGATGCTTAACTTCGGTGATCGAACGAGAACCGGTGTTTCAGCGTGATTTGACCGTAAGCAAAAAGTAGTAAGTTATGGTCTCCGAGATTGGGATAATATAATGAGTTTGATTTTTACCGGGTGATTAACTATGGTGGCTTATACCACGCTAATACCAGCTGAATAAAAAAAAAAAACTAAAGTAGATGTTCGTGTATTAATATTTTCAACATAACATCGTCCTCGCTTTAAGTTTGCCATATTTCTTTGATGATACGTTATATTTTCAAAAAGTTTATTTCATCATTTAAATTAATATTTCGACGGAAAATAATAAATTATTTCTTATTTGGAATGCTGACATAAAAGTTAAATAATTTTAAAACGACCTGAGAGTTACGATAACAATGTAACAATCAAAATGAAAGAATAACTGGTCAAAACAAATTAGTTGTGCCGTCATTTGTCTTAATACTAAACTACTGAACAACATTTAGTGTTTTATTTTTCAAAGATCTTATGATTGCTGGATACTCATGCGTGATTATAATGGACGCTAAAGCCTTACTGTTTTATTATTCTCGTTCGATTTTGGTGAATGTGTTTTTGTTTCTTTATTGATTGCCTGTCGGTGAGTACACAGAATGCATGTACCTACAAGAGATTTGATATTAATAATGGATAGGTCATAAACTTTCACCTCACACAATGATGTATTGACAGTTTTCATTCGAGATAATAGGAAAGGTAGACTTCGTGCAAATTTTGTCAAGATGCAGACATTTCACCAGAGGCAAATCAGTACACTGATGTTGTCAAGGTAGCAGTGACGCAAATTCGGGAGGCTGTTGTTTTTAACAGCTTGAATGCCATTTTTGTTAGAATCCAGAATAGCCACCTGTAGTGTTATAGCTATCAGTAGGACGTTAATAAAGCTTAATTAAGCCTTACTACAGTAGAGCTGTCTGGAAATTTGGTTGATTCGAAAAGAATTAATAATTTCGTTTTGTGTACTATCTAAGATATGAGAAAAAAATTGATATGATATTTACTGGTATAGATGAGGGGTGAAATTATAAGATAGAAGATACAGAAATTCCTTTTGTTCTTTATGAAAATAATAGCGATGGTACTCTTTAAAACATTATTATAAAGAACCTAGTGTTATGAATAATCAAATATAGTCTCTCCTTGTTTTATCACTCTCCTCTTTGAGAGAGCTATTTCTGTTTACTGAGACTATAAAAGGACACTATACGCGAACTTTGTATTCTCAGTTAAATACAGCTTTCTGTGTACTTTTGTCATTGCACCTAGTTCTTATCTCAGCGTTGTTTGCTAGAAAACAAAAGAATGAACTGTAAAAGGTTATTATTTGGAAACCATAAGTTTGATGTAAAACTTATATTATTACCTTTTTTCTATAATATAATCTGATTCTGAATTAATAATTTCTTTAAACATTGCATCTGTTCGTAATTAATTCGATGTTCTTATACAGAGCCAAGTTCTTTGTTTGGTTTGCTAATGTAATGTATATCACCTGGAATGAATTTTTTTTAATCATTTTATTTTTCATTGCTGTTCTGTATCTGCTATTTTATAGGTAACATCATAGAGATGGTGAAATATTTTCCATTCTCAGTTATCCTTGAGGCACCTGGATATGGTGTAAGGTTTAGCAAGCTTGTCTCGCTAGAACAATTACGACTGAGTAGTGAGTTCGATCCTCAGTAGATGCCTCATATTTTTGGCCTTGTACCACATCTAAGCTACGCTTAGAAACCCACCATACAGTCATATTTAATTTTCTAGTTTGCCTTTGTCTTTCATCGTCATTATCTCTCTCACAATTTCCTGTTATTTATCGCTAATTACTTTAGAAGATAGTTTGCTCGTTTAAAAGCCTCAAAGTTCAGCGCTATAATCTTATGACCATAAAAACTAGGAGTTCGAATTTATCTCTTGGTAACCAAAACGATTTGATTAATATGATTACATTTTTCTTACCATATATCCAGGTTCTTAAGGCTTACGGCCATATCACGTTGGAACACCTGTTCTTGTACGATCACCGAAGGTAAGCAACGGATGTACGGGTGGTGTAATGGATAACGAATTGAAAATCAGAGCGCCGAGTTCGATTTCCGACTGGGTTCGTTCTTTTCACTTACTCGCAAATATCTTTGGGAAAATTATGCATCCACCTTTTTTCCCACCAGCTATAGGTTAATTAGTAGGACTTCTATGAGTAAATCATTATTATCTCCTATAATTATTAAAATCTAAAAATGTCTTCTTGATTTAGATAACCTGCAAAAGTTGGCATGTAAAAACAAATCAATCAATCAATTCAACTCTTTAGCTTATTGAAATACTTCAGTTTCCTCCACTCTATCGAAGATGAGATGAAGTATTATAATTATTATTCAATCATATATATTTAGAATATGGCTTTAAATGATTTTTTCTTTCTTTTTTTAAATAATCCCGATATTGTACTTTGTTCCATTTTCCAGGTATCTCTTTGATTCGAAAACCTTCTGGGAATTTGGAACCAAGCCCAGAATTCATTTTACGTTGTTGTCTTCATTCTGCTATCATTGCTGACAAATATCTTATATCTGGTAATAATTATTAATTAATTCGTTTTTATAATGTCACGGTTACTTTTTGAATGTGAACTGGAGACTTTGACTTTCACAGACACTTAACTCAAAATACCACCCAGTCCATATCCTATAAGACAATCAAACAACAGTATTCTGAAGTTTTAAATACAACAATTATTCTTTCTAAATCGCATGCTCGAATAGAAAATACCCTTCTAAGCTTAATTTGCCACCGAGGTTCTTGTATACTACAGGCAATAATTTTTTTAGTAGATTTATCTTCCTCTACTGTCTCTTATTTTGAATTAATTTCACTGGGTTTTTGTTAAAGCTTTCTTTTCCATTCATACATACATGTTTGATTTCATACATCCTTTCTTTCAATGCTTCTTGATGTTTATCGGGAGATATCTTTTGAGCATACATAATCTCGTTTGAAGAAAACCTCAAGTTACAGCGGCCGAAATGCTTATTTTAAATCTCTTTCTTATTTTATCTGTCGTCTCTCTTAGTATCGGCGGTCATAACCCTCTACAATTTCCTATCTTTTCTTTTAAGCAATGTTTGTTCCCCTACTATCCTATATAGTCCATATCCTGCCATTCATGTCCACAAGAACGTAAGTGAGGTTTTGTTTCTACTTGCCCCTATAGAATTTTTTAGTATTACATTTTCAGAGCAATCATTCCTTTTATATGTGACTAAGAAATCTCAAATAATTATTTCTTATTTTAGTAGCAATCCTTTTTTTTTGTCCGTTTTCCTTACAACTTACTCGCTGCTTACATGTTTCGTCCATTGTATTCTCAGAACCCTAATATAAAATACAAAGAGGAATCAGCAATGTTATTTGTCATGACCTGGCATCTTTCTCACTACCTTGACGTAGAATTCCTCTGTCATTTTCTATAAATATTTTCATGGTAATTGTTTTGATGAGATTTCCTCTTTGCTATTAAGACTTTACGAATTTAGCCCTTTGAGCCCTGCGTGTCTCAACAATTCTAGCACTTCTGCCTGAGCTCCTAAATCAAAATTCGCAAATAATTGGTATGTAATGTTTTATGTTAGATATAAAAATACTTACAAGTGTTTACTCACCGTTCAACCGGTAGCTGGGCATTAAATCTTTTTTCTCTACCACCGGCAAAGCGGTTGTCAGAGCTGAAAGGGTTAAGCCTACTAATAAACTAACAGCAACGTCTCATCACCTTACAGTTGAAATGCTAATTCTTTTTTTTTGCGGTTCTCGCTTCTGGAAATCTCTTGCGGCTTCAAATATTTAAATGCAATATCAATAGTCATCCACTGTCTTCTTGTCCTGTTATTGTTCCCTCTCACTGATAACGTTTTCTTTAGTCTTTCACGCTCATTAACCCTCTGCGTGTTAGTGGCTTTATTGCCTTTTTGGGGGTGAAAGGATTAAAGAAAAATGTAGAACCACGCGTGTTTCCTTTTCATGTATGGAGAAAGAATCCAGTATTTATTGCCATAAAGGAGGATGGATATATTGCAGACCCGGCAGCGTGCAGTGCTGGTTTATTACAAAGTGGCCTTGTGCCAGACACCACACTAAACTACCGAGTCTACAAGCAAAGTAAAAAAATAAATATATATGCGTGAATGAACAGTGAGAGGAAAGGGGTCAATCAACAAGTGCATAAAATAAAATATATTAAGATAGCCGACACAGAATGATAGGAAAAAGACTGGATTCCAACAAGGGTAATTTTTATTAAATGCAGGAACAACAAGTAAATTATCCCGTAGTAGGGATCAATAAAAATGTTCCGCGCCAAAAATAGAAACAAGATGGCTAAAGGCGGGAAAAGTTCTTGAATAAGAAGGAGGTTCCAGATAAGTCAATGTACATGATAATATACATACAAGGAAAAAATACTCACTGCGAGTTTTGGCTAATGTGAGTGAAATGTTATGTATATATTTTTTTCTTTTTCTGTACTGGTTCAAAACAGATTTATGACGAGGCCCAAAGGGGACGACGGATTAATATTTTGTATGTTCTGCATCGTCTCGGAGAAGGACTTTGAAAGACGAGTCACAAAGGGCCGAAAAGTTAATTATTTGGTATATGCATCATCTCGTAGAAGAACTTTGAATGACGAGTCACAAAGGGCCGAAAAGTTAATTATTTGGTATATGTATCATCTCGTAGAAGGACTTTGAAAGACGAGTCACAAAGGGCCGAAAAGTTAATTATTTGGTATATGCATCATCTCGTAGAAGGATTTTTGAATGACGAGCCAAAAGGGACGCAGAATTAATTATTTGGTGTTTTTATTGGTTACCTGTTGAATACGACGAGTTTCTGCCGACGAGGTCTGATGTCGATTAGCAAGTGTCTCAGTAGGATATCCCTGTCTGTATTTATTCTTCTGGTCGAGGGATAAAAAACATTATTAGTTGGAGTTTTGAAGGTCTGATCTGCGATTAGATTAGCAAGTTGTTCGTCAGTAGGATATCCCTGTCTGTATTTATTGGTTCGCTGACGAGGGATAAAAATAAGCCATTATTAGTTGAATACGAAGTTTCTGCCGTCGACTGTGTCGTGTCTCTAACGTCTTCTGGTCGAAAACGGAGAAGGTCTGACCTGTGATTAGCTTCAAGACGAGAAGAAGTCTTGGTAGAGTGTGAAGTCGCCATTGTTGAAATAAGATATTCCGGCCCGCATATGGGTTAAGGGCACGGAATAAATGAGTTGCCCATCTAGTCAGGTCGAAAGTCGAGAGGCAACTGCTTGCAAACGCTAGCAGTTTTTGAGACGCCGAAAAACGCGCGGGAAAATTCAAAATCTGTTATGAGTCCAAATCAGTAGGAGCTAGCGAGGTTACTGCTATGTTTAGCTGTGAGTGGAAGGTAGGGGTGAAAAACCGCGCGCACACACGCACGAGTGTGAAAGGAAGGGAGGAAACTCACGCGCGCGTAAAATATAAATGGAATTAATGTGTTAATTCCATAGATATTACATGATTCTTAAGCACTGATCTTTTAGCTTTAAACGAATTGTTTTCTATTTCTTAATACTTTGTTTAGCTTTTGCAAAACATCTTCGCTATTCTAATACGCTTTTTGGTTTCGTCTGTAAAAACACTTGCTAGACATTTAGGTTTCTGTATTGCTTTATTCTGAAATATCTAATTTTAACTCACATCTAGGGATTATGTTGAACTAAAGACATTCTGTCTATTTACAATTGATGATTGGCCTGTTTCTCGATTTCCTTTAGTCTCAGTTGCTATCTATCTATCTATCTATCTATCTATCTATCTATCTATCTATCTAAATGGACGAATAGTCTCAAGAAAATACTGTATATATTTCTGGAACTAAAATTATACGTAAAATACAGTTATGGTCCTCACTAATTCTGGAGGATAGTACAAAGAAATTTGAAGTTTGAACTATACTTTATAATTACATGCACTTATTCAGAGTACAATTCATAGGGATAAATAAGTTCGCTATCTTTCCCTCACTCTCTTTCTCTGTCTTTCTCACTCTCTTTCTTCCGAAATAATATCTCCTTTATTTTATTCCCCTCTTCCGTGCTCAAGTATATGTATATCAATCTATCTTCATAAAAAAATATCTCTCTCAAATTGTTCCCATCTTATTCGCTCTCTATGTGATTTAATTCTATCTATCTATCTATCTATCTATCTATCTATCTATCTATCTATCTATCAGTACAGATTAATACACCAATCTTTTTGTGTGTTTATATTTATAGAATCAAAATAATGTATAAAATACAGTTAAGATCCTGACTGCGTTAGACTTAATTTTTATTGCATGAGGTCGATACAAAAATATTAATTAAATAAATATTTTAACCATTTGCTAATCGGATATAAACTACAAATCAGGAACACTTTCGATATTTGTGGCTTAATATTTTCTGAAGGAAATATCGTTCATCTTGCAGCGCAAATATTGACTTTTTAGGTGGCAAAATCTCACCTACTTATCAGACTGTGTAATTGCTCTGAGCTTTTGAGCAACGCAATCCACAATATATTGTTTGAGGCACGTAAAATCATTGAACGTTTTTAATGTTGTGTTCCTCCAAGGAAGTAGACAATATTGTCTCTTTTAATACGGTTTTAAATTCTGAATAATTCTCACAGACTGGCTGTCACCCAAGATTAGAGAGCCAGGTCTACTTTGTATTTAATCCTTATTTGGGGCATGGAGAACATGGGGATGCGTGACTTTACTAAGTGTAGTAGTTTGAAAGTGAATGCAAATGACAAGGCTGGAATCTCAACACGGATTACTGACAGGTATTTCTGCTCCAATAACTGCTACTCTACACGAATATCTTTAGAAAGTACTGGCTGTTGTAAGATGAATATTTTAACCTAGCACTGAATTGAAGCATTTTTGGACGTATTAGATTTATGTTCGTTCTCTACATTCATGTTCAATCTGCACTAAAAGAAAGTTAGACAAGCATATAAAAGTCATCACATGCGCATAATAGATGCTGAGATAAATATTTTATTTAGAAGTCAGCGCCTACACTAGTTGGTGAAAAAGTTCGTTTTTTAAATTATCCTTGCAGCCATATTGTTATTATTTTCCTGGATGCTGAGAAGTTTCTTTGTAATATCTATTGTTTACTGAAAAATATTTCAAAATATTAAAAGTGAAAAAAAATTATAACAAAATTAGGCAAAACTGTCTGCCAAACATGAATAATATTTTCTATCAGGCAATTTTAAAGCCAAACACGAGAAAGGTTATTTCGAAGAAAATATCCGAATACAGTCTCCGTTTAATTAGTGAACACGAGAGTTCAATGGTTTTGGAAGTTGATAATCACGGAGACTCTTAAACATTTTATATTTGAGATTTTAATATAGTTTAACATCTGATACCTATCTAAGACCCTTTATTTCGATTCTACCTAAAATGTACTAACCATTTATTCCGCGATAACAAATGTAGAAGCAAAGTGACTTGTAATCACGATAGCTATTCATAATAACACACATGCACGCACACACACACATATATATATATTATAATTGTCTTTTTAAAATATATTTTCATCGCAACATTATTTTTATCTTTAAAAAAATTGTTCGATGCCACAGTAGAGGATAATATTATGTTTTTTTTTTAAATATATTATCCTCGCAACACTTAAATTCCCATGTTTCAAAATTGAAACTTCAATTCAAATTCAGTCATAAAAATTAAACTTAAAATACAAATTTCCTTTCAGTTATTCTTTACATCGCTTGATAATGGAACGGAACTTTGTATTTTACATTTAGTTTGTAGGTCTCGAAGATTTGGAGCTGCTTTGTTTTTTAAAGATCTCAAGAAATAAAAAATTAATACATATGGGATTTTAAGTGTTTGATTTTCTTTAATTAATAATAATAATAATAATAATAATATATATATATATATATATATATATATATATATATATATGAGATATATTTTGACAGTAAGTATCATTACAAGCATATCATTGTACAGTATTCCCAAAAACCGTTACACATGACGTCACATTATACTATTCCTAATTTCTCGCCTCCAAAAGAATACCAGGATGTAAACAAATGAATTCTAACTACCACGCAGACGCCATAATGATCGAAATTACTCGAACAAACAATAAAATAATATGAACTTCCATAGTTTATTCACAAGTTCGAGCACAATACTCAAAATTTTATTTCCGAAGATTTGAAAAATAGAATAAAAATTAGATAGAAAACACACCTTAGTTCTTCATAATCCAACTAGTTTGAGGGAGTATATATAGGGTGTGCCAATAAATTGGATCGATTCTAAATGTGAATTAAGTCTAAGCGTCTGATGACTTTTTTCTTTGGCAATTTCAACCATAGAAAGATTAACTATAAACCTGTTCAAGTTATCGAAGCTTATTACGAAAATAGACTTTCAAATTTATAAATATGCAGCCCATTAATTCCGCTAGCAAAAAAAAAAGAAGAAAAAATGCACATCAAACAGTGACCTTTTGTGGATGCAGTGGTTTTCCAACAATCTTCCTTGGATTCTCATCATGTTTTTGTGTGTGTGTGTGTGTTTTTGTGTGTGTGTGTGTGATGAAATGGATTAAGTCCAACGATTATTTATTATGTTTTCTGTTGATACGTAATTTTAAAACAGATTTTTTTAAGTAAATGCTCTGTTTTTAATTAAACAATATTAACTACATTTACCGGCCCAAATGTTCGAGAAATCTCGTAGAAAATATGCGTAATGCGACAAGAATACAATCTGTATTCTTATACGAAAACCGTCACGAAATGTGTTCCTGATCAAACCAATCTCAAAAATAATTACATCGGTCACACTACTACCTGCCTATCCAAACGACCTACGTAGCACCTATTCAAACACAGCTCCACTAGAACTCATTTAAACACACACAAAAACCTACCAAACTCCATTCTTAACGTAACAGAAAATACAAGCATAATAACCTCAGACACATGTAAAAATGATTAAAAAAATGGAGCCCTAATAACAGAAATGAAAAAGCCAACACAGAATAACTTTAACTATGGACACGACCACAATATGCTGATCGCGTTAGGAAGATACAAGATCCCTATAATACTAGATACATGCACAACACTTACTTTCTTAAAAAGTAAAAATAAAATCAACCTTGATAATGGCTAAAAGTATAACCGAATGCGCTTGGAATTACAGAACATTTGGACAGTTTTTACAAACTTTCTGTGAAGAAAAAAACAGAAAAACAAAAAAAAAACACAAGAAAATTTAAATAAAAAGCTAAATCGTAGTACCTTGTCAGTCGTCTTCAATGAGACTTGTATAAAACAGTGTTGCTACCTAAATATACAATTTATATACAGAGTGTTTCAAAAAGAATACGCCAAAATTATCACGTGATGTGTCAAAAACGAAAAAAATTTACAAACCTCTAGCATGACCACATGTGTTGTATATACATTCAAGTTTCATTTCATGTTTTATAAGTGCTCAATGTGGCCACCACCGGCAGCGCGGACAACATCAAGCCGATATGAGAATTCTTCCCAAACGCGCCTCAGCATGTCACGGTCCACCGTGTTGATTGCAGCTGTTATTCGATCTTTCAAGTCATCGATACTTGCTGGAAGTGCTGGAACATAAACTTGGTCTTTAACATAACCCCACAAGAAAAAGTCACACACAGTGAGGTCCGGGGATCTGGCAGGCACCGAGAGCAAGGTCTTTAGCACCTCTCCTCCCAATCCATCACTGAGGCACGTTTTCATTCAGATAAGCTCTAACCCCGAGATACCAATGGGGTGGTGCTCCATCTTGCTGAAAAATGAAGTCATTCGAATCTGCTTACAGTAAAGTGAATAGCCAGTTTTGGAGCATTTCGAGATAGGTTTGTCTTGTAACGGTGTTTCCTTCAAAGAAAAAGGGACCATAGACCTTGTCTTGAGACACAGCACAGAAGACGTTCACTTTAGGGGAATCTCTTTCATGCTCAACAGTTTCATGTGGGTGCTCTGTTCCCCAAATGCACACATTGTGTCGATTGACTGTGCCTCTCAAATGGAAATTCGCTTCGTCACTAAAAACTAAACGGGAAAAGAGAGTTTCATCACCTTCCTCCATCTCCAGCATTGACTGACAGAATGTCCTCCGCATTACCTTGTGCTTGGACGAGGCTTAGTTTGTATGGTTTAATGTGTAATCGTCTCTTTAACACACGCCAGACAATAGTATGAGGGATGGCAATCTGAAGACTTGCTCGACGTACAGACTTACGTGGGCTGCTCTCAAATGCATCATGAATTCTCTCCTCTTGCTCCTCTGTAACACATGGTCTTCCAGGACTCTTTTCTTTGCACAGGCACCCACTCTCTTTAAACTGTCTAACCCACCGTCGAATGCTCTCACGATGGGGCGGATCAATGCCGAATTCTGTTCTGAAAGCACGCTGCACCGTGACAATGGCGTTTGTTTTCGCGAACTCAAGCACGCAAAACGCCTTCTGCCGAGGAGCCGCCATTTTGATTGATCTTCCCACAATTCAGCTGCACCGGAAGTTATACTAACGACAGCTCTGAAACTGACACCCAATCAAACTTTGATAACTACTCTATCAAATAACCACTGATTCAGTCCACTACAATGCTAAAGACCTGAAAAAACAGCGTAATGATTTTGACGTATTCTTTTTGAAACACCCTGTATATGTGCGAGGTATAATATATATATATATATATATATATATATATATATATATATATATATATATATATATATGTGTGTGTGTGTGTGTCCTTCCGGTTATGTTAATCTCTGTAACACCGTGGCGTAATTTGTGCATAATATGTGGATATTTTATTTGTAAATGTAATATTCCAAAATGTTTTGATGAATCAAGTACTTTTCCTATGAAACTGGCACATTGCCTTTCCTAACAATGCCTACAAACAGAAAGAAAAAAATGAAATCTGACCGAGAATTTTGAAATTTATTCATAACTGTATAAAAAAGAAACAACTGCCACTGTTGTTTGAATTTAATAAAATCTATTTGACTGAATAATTGATACACATATAAACCGCGGATCTATCTATCTATCTATCTATCTATCTATCTATCTATCTATCAAGGAATATATAAAATGTCCACCTACGCTCTCCCTACTCTGAATTTAGCAGAGATAACATCTACTCCTAGAGAAGTTTGACTGTTAAATATTTACAGTATCCGCGCAACTC